TCTGGAGGCAGGTGTGCAGAGCAGCTGGGCCCAACCTTGCCCCATGCCTGCTGCCCCAGCGGGACTGAGGGGACTGGGCACCGCCATCTTTGAGGGCGTGGCAGTCAATTAGTATATTCCCTCCTTATTGGCTGTGGGTGCTACCATCTTTGAGGAAGTGGCAGTCAATTAGCATGTTCATTCTATATTGGCTGTGGGCACTGCCATCTTTGAGGGCATAGCGGTCAATTAACATATTCCCTCCTTATTGGCTATGGGTGCCGCCATCTTTGAGGACATGACAGTCAATTAGCATAATCCCTCCTTATTGGCTGTGGATGCTGCCATCTTTGCAATGGTGTGAGGGTCAATTAGCATATTCACTCTTTATTAGATAGGATATTAAAAGCATAATATGCTAATTAGACTGGACAGCCGAATGACCTTCCGGACGTCATTTCGGACATCCTTTCAGATGAAGTCACCATGGCGGGGGCCGAGGCAGAGGTGGTTGGGCGATCAGGTAGGCAGGCGAGTGGTTAGTGGTGATCAGGCAGGCAGGCAAGTGGTTAGGGGTGATCAAGCAGGCAGGTAGAGTGGTTAGGGGCGATCAGGCAGGCAGGCAGGTTAGTGGTTAGGGCCCAGCCATCCTAAATTGTGACAGGGATGTCTGACTGCCGTTTTAGGCCTGATCCCTGCGGGATCAGCAGTTGGACATCCCCCAAGGAGTCCTAGATTGTGAAAGGGTGCAGGCCAGGCTGAGGGACACCCCCTTTGCACAAATTTCGTGCCCCGGGCCTCTAGGCCTATCTAATAAAAGAGAAACATGGTAATTAGCCGTACCTCCGCTACCCTTCTCATGGGCTAATCAGGGCGATATGCAAATTAACTGCCAGCCAAGATGGCGGCCGGCAGCCAGGCAGCTTGAAGCAAACATGAGGCTTGCTTGCTTCAGTGACGGAGGACTCCAACATTCCCCGCCTGCTGCTGCCGGCCTCTGAGCTTGCAGTTTGAAACATTGTTACAAATATAGAAGCTAAACAAAACCTCAGAAACCTGCTTTCAGCCAGCCGGGATCTCAGAGCTGGAGTTGAAACAGTGTTTCGATTATAGAACCCAAACAAACCAGATACCTGCTTTCAGCAGCCGAGCCTCAGAGCTAAAGCTGGCCTAGAATAAAAAAAAAAAGAAAGAAAAAAAGGAGCAATTGGGAGCTTCAGTCCCCTGCCAGCCTGAAAACAGCCCTCAGCCCCTCACCCAGACTGGCCAGGCACCCCAGTGGGGACCCCCACCCTGAAGGGTATGTGACCAGCTGCAAACAGTCATCAGCCCCTCACTCAGGCTGGCCAGGCCCCCAAGCAGGACCTCTACCCTGATCCAGGACACCCTTCAGGGAAAACCAGCCAGCCCCCACCCGTGCACCAGGCCTCTATCCTCTATAGTAAAAGGGTAATATGCCTCCCAGCAGTGGGATCAGCGGAGCTGGGAGGCCTCCCAGCACCGGGATCAGCATGACGGGGCAGCGCCCAAACCCCCTGCTCGCCCTGCGGCTCTGTGTGTGACAGGGTGCGGCGCCACAGCCCCCCGATTGGCCCTGCCCTGAGTGGGACAGCGGCGGCACCCCCACCCCCTGATCGGCCCTGCTCTGTGGGTGATAGAGGGCAGTGCCCCAACCCCCCACACCCACGGTACTTTGTATATGTAAAACACTTTTATGATTTTATGTCTTGTCTTTTTCTTATTCCTTAGTGACATCGACCAGCAGTACCTAAACTATATATTCAGGTAAAATATAATTTACATTTTCAAAGAGTAACTCATATATTTCTAGCTTATTTCCCAATAATGTGACCTGGGAGTTCTGAGCCAATATGCCCCCATGGAGGCGAGCTAAGTGTCTGTGAGGGACCAATCAGGACACCAAACAGCAGCCCTGCCTAAACCAGGTGGGAGGGAACCTGGACCAGGTGTGTGTGTGGGAGGCGGGGGGGCACTCTGTCCTGCCTACAATTCAGAGGCTCAGTCTCTCCCAGGAGTCTGGAGTCTGTAAGGCTAAGGGGACCATTTCCCTAGAGCCCACAGTCTCCCTCTAGCCTGGGCCCTGGACTTCCCTCCCCAAGTGGTCCTGACCTTGATCCCACGGCCTCCCTGGTCTGTCTTCCCAACTCACTCCCAGACCCAGTGGTCCCGAGGGGAGGCTGCCAGTGGAAGGTGGTGGGTGGACTTGCAGGCTGAGGCGTCCACATACAGTATGTGAGGTCCTTGGGGTGCAGGGTGCAGCCTAAGGTGGAAGGGTCAATGGAGCCAGGAGCCAGGGCTGGGGCCGGGTCTCTCCATGGTGCCACCTCTGGCAGGGAGCTCCTCGGACTCCGAGATTCTAACTTTTAATCTGGCCCAGGTTGTTTTGAGGCTATAATCTCTGTTTATACCCCCCTCCTTGTTTTGCAGATGAAATTGTGTGAGTGTGCACGCGCGCGTGTGTGCGTGCACGCTTGTCTCTGTGTGTTTATGCACATGTATGTGTGTGTGTGTGCATGTGTGTGTGCATGTGTGTGTCCGTGTGAAAGGGGTGTGCATAGCTGTTCTCTCTGGGGTGTGACTTGTGAAACTGAAACAATGGATTGGAGCCCAGCCTGTGGAGATGATTGTTTCTCCTATTTCTCCATTGCATTTCCCATGAGTGTAGGAGCGTCTTCTCTCTTGTTTGCTGTGTCCCCAGATTAGAGCAGCACCTGGCACTTCCTAGGCACTCAGTAACGATTGCTGAGTGAATGGATTTAAAAGGTCTGCTGGTATCTGGCCTGATTGGTCTTGGGTAAAATGTCTTATTTCTGACCTCTGACTGGACCCGCTGCCTGGGTGGCTGGAATGGAGAAGGACAGTACAGAGGTGGGCTCAGGCCCGGGAGGCGGGTGAAGCTCCCAGAGAGGAAGGTGGGAGGGTGCCAGGAAGAATACGGCCTCCTCCTCCTCCTCTTCCTCCTCCTTCTCTTCCTCCTCCTCCTCTTCTCCTTTGGCATCGATTGCAAACCAGTCGAGGTAGTTTTCAGGCACATGGTGGATGGGATGGGTCATTTTGTGGGCTGGCTTCTTGGACATTGAACTTCCCTGCCATGCAGTTAATTTTGTGGCAAAAATAGACTGAGCTCACGGTCCACAGCTACGGGTTAGCGTGCAGCCCACTGGAATTCAGGGGCTGCTTCATGTGGCCGACACGACTCTCTGTGGCGGAGGTGGGTGTGGACAGTTAGCGGCACGGCTGGCCCTCGGTGGTGGGGCATGGACGCTCAGTCCCCGGGCCCAGCCTGCAGCACTTCAGGTGGGAGGGAACCTGGACCAGGTGCGAGGGCCCCTGTCCTGCCTACAGTTCAGAGGCCTCATTGTCACCGAGGAGCTGGACTTGGAGGGAGCCCGTCCGTGAGGTCGCCTGCCTGGTCCACTGCTTCTGAGTGGAAGGGGGCGGGGGGAAGGCGTGCTGTGCCCCGTGCGAGCTCCTTCCCTCGCTGTTTCCTTTTCAGCGTGGCGCTCCTGGCAGCTGCAGCACATCCCACAGGTAAGCTCACCCTGCGTGTGCCGTACGGTGTCTGTTCAGTGCAGGGCCTGACCGGCCGTGTCCCTGAGGACGTGTTGGCAGGAATGGGGCTGCCTTCCAGGGGGTCGCGCCCAGGGTTAGAAATGGCCCGGAACCTTCCGGAGTCATCACCCACGCACTCACTCTCACCCCACCTTTGGTTAAACACTCACATGTGATAAATGGAACAAAACAATCCACTTGGTAAAACACACACAGCCCCCAGAGAGAGGGAATTCAGAACGTTTCTTCCAATCCAGACGGCACCCACTGGAAATTGTTTGGGTCTGGAAGGGCCGCAGGCCTTGGTCTTGTGTCCTGAAGTTCCCGATGAACGCGTGCCGTGACGAGGAACTGCTGTCTGTGCGGCCCGTACACTCCCGTGTGACTGATGCTCGGCACACCCGCCCCCCTCCG